CTCCCACCCCGCTGCAGCCCTGTCTCCAGGCTTTTGGACCCCGAGTCCAGGTGGTGCCTCGACTCAGCTCTTCCCCGACAGCCCATCTGCCCGCAGCCTGTTGGTTCTGGCTTTCAGCAGCACAGACACCACCTGCTCCCCTGTCTGCAGTGCAGGGTGGGGGCCACGGTCCCCCTCGCTCCTCCTCTGTCATCCCTCACCCCATCTCTCTGGGTCACCTACCCTCGCCCTGCCCACGGGTGAGTCCCTGTCAACCCTCCCCATCCTCCCCACCTGCTGGCCCTCCCCCCCCACCGGCCACCTGCCCCTTTCCCCAACCCTCTCTCTGCCACCTCCCTCTTCTCCCTCGTTCCTGTCAGCACCCCATTCCTCCTGGCTCCAGCACCCCGCCCGCCTGCCTCCCCCCCCCGCCCCCCCCTTTCCGGTGCCTCCCTTGGGCTTTTCTCGCTGGTGCCGCCAGAGGGCGAGTGTGAGCCGCAGCAGGGCAGGTCCGCCCCAGCCTGAGAGCTGGAGAGGGGGCGCTGCAGCCCCCCTCCCCGGGCCCTGCAGGCTTGCTCCCTCTGCACCCCTGCCCTCACCTCCCCCAGCGCCCCGCTTGCAGCCACACCACGCGATCCTGCCTCAGAGCTGTGCCTCCTGCCCGGCGCGTTCTCTCCCCACAGCTATCCCCTGCGGGGTGCAGTCCCGGACCCCTCCACACGCCTCCCCTAGTGAGGAACCCTGGCGCCCCCCCCCAATTCCAAGCTGCAGAGTCCATGTCCTTCCTACCATCCCCCTTTCTCCGAGGCACTGCCCACTTTCTAAAGTAGATGATTCCATTAGTTTGCCCAGCGCACTCAAGAAAATGATGAGGGAGTTGGTGTTTGGTTCACTACTGTTTCCTTCACCCCTGAAAACCTGGCGCTCTGGGCTGCAGGGGCCGCAGGGGCGGAGCCTGGGGGCTGGGCCCTGGGGGCCTTCAGCTCAGCCACCCCTTCTGCCCTCGCTCACTTTGGGCTCCTGCACATGTCACAATAAGCTGTGTCACCAGAGGCCAAGTCCCTGACAGTCTCCAGCTGTCTGGGCACCAGGCGGCACAAAACCAAGGCTGGAGGCGGCATGGGGTGGGGTGGGGTGGTCACCACCTCTGGACAGAAGGGGCCCTTGTCTTTCTCTGCCTGTCTGGGTCCTCGAGACTAGGCCGAGGCACACCCCTGGGTCCTTGAGACTAAGCTGAGGGGCACCCCTGGGCTCCCCGTCAATGGCCGGCCCGCCAGGCAGGAGGGAAGGAGGGGGGATTCCTCGTCATCTCTGTCTTCTGTGGCCCCTGAGCTCCTGCTGCCTTTGGAGAGAAGTAAATAGTTTCACTGATGTCAACGGGCCCACAGGTGAGAGGACAGAGCTGGCCATGGCTGATTTGTGGACCCAGGAACCCAGGTTGGTAGGTCATGGAGAGACACCCCAGGCCTGGGTGGAGGGACCAGGAGGCGATCCCAGGTGGGGGACAGGTGAAGACCCCCTTTGGGGGGTCTGACAGACACCCCTCGCTAACGGATGGCTGGTTTTGACCTTTTAAATAGACTATGACATTTAGAGGTAAAAGTTGAAAAATTGCAGAATGCATTAAAATGACACTGCTCAGTGAATTGCACATAAAGGAGATAAAACTCAGTCAGGCTGTTAAAGGTCACAGCACAGAAGGGTCCGGCGGTGCCACAGAGCTCATGGAGGCTCCTCGGAGTGGACAGCGGGGACATCTTCAGCACCTCTCCTTTGGGAAACCAGCCTCATGTCCCCGCCGACCCTGACGGAACCAGACACGTAGTGCGCAGTGAGTGCTTTGGGACGAGTTCTCTGCTTGGCTTCTGTAAATCCCTGCAGGCTGCTGGGAGGTGGTGGCTCTCCGTGAACCGCCACACCTCCCTGCGCCGCTCACTCCTGCCCCAGGGCCTGTGCACCTGTCCCCTTGTCCTGACCTGCGCTTCCCCATCTTCTCAGGGCGATGGCCTTAGACCCAGCCCAGACACACACGGCCATCCTGGGCCTCCGCCAGGGCTCTGGCCTTTCCAGCACACTCCACACCCTCTAGATGCTGTGTGCTCCTTCATGAGTTTGTTTACTTTCTCCTGCCCCTACTCCTGGGAATTGGCTAGTGGTGTTTGTCTAGCTGTCCCCATCTTGTATGCACTAACCCAAACTAGTACGTAGTAGGTGCTCAGTTAAAGGCTTGCTGGATGAAGGAAGGAAGGAAGGAACGTTTCTTCCCAGGGTGGCCAACCATGGGCCATGCCTCAGTTTCCCCGGCTGTAGGAATGGGGCCGTGACCTCGCAGTCCCCCTGCTGCGAGGCTGTGGGTGTCGGGTTTGCTCCAGCTCCCTGGGGCCCACGTGGCCCCAACTGCCCAGCTCAGCCGGCTCCCCGGGGGACTGGTCTGTCGACATCAGATTCTTTGCTGGACTGTCCAGTTACCTGGTGACACTTGATCCTAGACCCACTTCCAGGCCTTCGTCCGCTGACCAGCCTGCTCAGGCCAGAGCCATAAGACTCCCTGCTGAGGGACAAGGGGCCGTCCGTGTGGCCCCAGGGAGGGTGTGGTGAGCGGCTCAGCCAGCACCTGCAGAAGGTGCGTGGGCCGGGCAGCAGGCAGCACCGGGCAGAGCTGCTGCGCTCGGAGGCCTCAGCCTGCAGGCACCCCGCGCCCCCTCGCTCACCATGGCTACCCCCAGCTGCAGCCCCGCTCTGCAGCTCACCTCCGCACCCCCGGGCCGGCGGGCCCACGAGCGCCCGGCAGCGCCGAGGACGTCCTGCGGGATGGCCACCTCGGAGAGCGGTATGGGCACGGGGTGGGGGCCGCGGTGTGGGGCCCCTTTTCTGCCCCATCCCCTACCCCGGAGGCTTCTGGAATGTTCAGTGAGCTCAGCTGAAGGCCGGAACCTCGGCTTTCCTGAAGAGGGGGGGCTGTTGGCCCTACATGCGCCCGACGCCCTTCCGGTGCTGGGGCCCAGGGCCGTGCGGGTGGCGCGGCCGTGAGGCCGGAGGCGAGGCGAGCAGGGCTCGGCTCGGGAGTGGGGTCCGCAGCCTGGAAACCGAGCAGCAGGCAGAGGGGTGCGCGCGAGGGTCGCAGGCTGGGGATGCCACCAGGGAGCCGGGTCCTGGGCTCCCAGCAGGGCGGCGCAGGCCTCAGTTTCCCTGCCTGCGCAGAACAGCCGCAGCCAGGAGCCCTGCTAATGCCACCCGCGGCACTGCCACCCTTTAGAGGCCACCAAACGTCGTGACTGTGACAGCGCGTCTCCGGGTAGCCCAGGCCTCGGTTTCCCCACCTGTGTCAGCCCTCTGTGTCCGGCCCCAGTGGTCCTCCCCCGCCCCCCGCCGTCCCAAGGTGGGGGGAGGCTGGGGTCCTGCAGCCCCCCACCCCTGCCGTGACTCCCAAAGCCGGATCTCACTTTTCCCCACCCTGCCCCTGGTGGCTGGGAGCTCCTGGGGCTCAAGGGCTGGCCCTGGGGCGCCACCCCCATCCCTCGGGCACCTGGACCCAGACGTGACCTGAGGCTTCCCCTCCCAGGCTCCCCGCCCGGCTGGTCCGTGTTGCCCCCCCCCACTGGCTACTTCAACCACGATGGCGCCCGGGCGGCCGGCCCCGCCCACCCCTTCCCGCAGCGGCCCAGCGCAGGTAAGGCAGGCGGCCCAGGGGTCGGGAGGGAGGGCGCACACCCGAGGTCCTCGGGCTCCAGCTCCCCCACGGGCATTTCCTCACCCGCTAGACCCAGCCCCCCCAGAGCGCCCTTGGCTGCTCCCCGGAAGCCCCTGGGGTCGAAGGCTTCTTTCTTCCCACGGGGAGACCGGGGCGGCCCTGCGGGGTGAGGCCGCACGGGCCTCCTCGCTGCCGGGTCCTGGACACGTGGCTGGAGTGCGCATGCCTCGGCTTCCCCGCTACCCACGACAACACACCCCTGAGAGCTGTCCTGAGGGCTGACTCAGCTTTAGTGAAGATTTCCGGAGGGCTGAATGCCCCAGGAGCAGCCGGTGGGCGGCTGGTGTCTCGGTGGTCAGCACCGAGTGAGGTCGGCCCCAGTGTCCGGTCCCAGGCTGGACTCCCGTCTCCAGGCCGAGACGACTCCCATGGCAGGACGAGGCTTCAGGGTGGCCAGAGAGCAGCCGCGGGGCTGGCGGGCGGGGGCCTCACTCCTGGCTAGAAGGGGCAGTGAGAACAGTAAGTGCTGGCACTGAGGCAGGTGGCCCCGGCCCAGCAGGCTGCCCAGGAGGGGGCTGGTGCCACGCCTGTCACCACAAAGGGGTACGCACTCAGCCTACCGCCCAGAGCGACCTGGCTCGGCCCCCGTGGCAGGACCCACCTGGGCACAGAGGGGTGGGCAGCCTGGGCTCGCGGGCGGGGGAGGCGGGTCAGCGCCGGCTCCGTGGCTGCGTGAAGGGCGCTTCTTGGCGTGGACGCATGGGCTCTGGGCTCCGTAGGGTGGGTAGGAGTTGGCGGAGGCCCCAGGAGCAGGCGGGGGCCCCAGAGCGCCTGCAGCACAGGCGACAGGGAGGGAGGCCGGTGGCGAGCCAGGGCCGCTCGCGCGTGGCACAGTGGCCCGTGTGCACGCACGTGTGTGTGGCGTGGAGACTAGGAACTGTCGCGTTGGTGCGTTTATGCCTGGACGTGCGCTTGATGTCGGGGTGATGGGGACGGCAGTCGCGCTGCTCACTGTCCCTGGGTGTGTTGCTCCCTGGGCACACCCCTTTCCAGGGAGCCCCTCGTTTTTCGACCTTCCCTTGAGGGGGTGAAGGAAGGCCGAGGATAACAGCTCCCCCAAGGACGCAGCTCGCAGAAGCCCCCTGGCGCTCAAATGTCCCACCCTCCTGCTCAGAGAAACCCCCCGAGCCACGCGCCCACCAGACGAAGCCTCAAGAGGTCCTCGCAAACCCTCATTCGGAGCCGGTCGCCCCGGTTTCTCTCCCGCTGACCGCGCCAGCTGGCTCCCCAGCCCGGCAGAGCGGGTTTGCGCTCCAGGACACACACGCTCATGCCGCTCATGCCGGTCAAGGCTGAGGCCCTGCCGCAGTGGGGAGTGGGGACCCCGCTCCAGGAGGGCGGGCGGGGTGTCTGGAGGGGAAAAGGCCTTGGGGCTACCCCGGGCGGCGCTGGGGCCCTCGGACCTGGGCTTCTCTCCACAGGGGCTCCTCAGGATGCCAGCCCCGGGCCCATCTACTTCCTGGACCCCAAAGTCACCCGCTTTGGCCGCAGCTGCGCCCCAGCTTACTCCATACAGGGCCGGGGCAAGTCTCGGGGTGAGTGTTCCATCTGTGCTGCCCAGAGGGACCCCGCTTTTCAGGACCGCGACTCTCCAGCCTTGCCCCATTCCTGCTGCACCCCGAGTTCTTAGATCTCCAGTGTCTTTGGAGTGATGCAGCCTAAGAGTCTCAGAACAGGGCCCGCGGCTCAGTGTCCATGGAGACCCTGAGACAACTGGAAAGGGTGAAGTGGTCAGCGTGGCAGTGGCCAGCGCACATGAGGTACTGCAGGGGCAGCTACAGCCTGTCCTCCGCAGGAGGGGACAACAGGGAGCAGTGGGGATGGTGGCAAATGTGTCATCTGCTTTCCAGGCGACAAGCAGTTTCCACCTGGAGCACCTGGTTTAGTCACCCAAGTCATCTCCCACCCACACCCCCTAACTTTGGGCCTACCACCCCCCTGTCAGCCACACACTGACCCAGCAATGCACCATCCATCATCGTCCGTCCATCCACTGTTTCATCCTTCCATCGACACATGAATCCATCCACAGTCATTCCACCCATCCACCCACCCACCCATCCATCATCATCCACCCATCCATCATCCATCCATTCATCCACCCACCC